CATAACAAACATCTCCTTTTGTATCCTTAAATGTCTCTTTATTAGTTAATATTCTGGGCCGCACCCTTCTGGTTTTTTTTTTTTGTTTTTTTTTTTTCGTTTTTTTGACAGAGAATGACAGTCTAGTCGGCTGTACAAGAAAGTTAGTTACATTGTGTCCAGGAGGAAGAAGGGGAAATGCCTATGGAGGGCAAGAAGATAGCAGGGTCTGCTATTAGAGCCAAGGGCAAGTGCTATAGAAATGCCTATCTCTGCTAATCTAGAAAAGGTCTTTGTCTGGAGTGGAAGGCAGGGTCAGGAACCATTGGGCTGTGTCTTTAAACAAGCTGTAACCCCCTTGGAGGTGCTCTTGTCACTCAGGCCTTACTAGTCAATCAGGGCCTATGGGCCATTACAGCCAGTTTACCAATCAACACAGGGCAGGTCGTACAAGCATGGAAGTACACCAATCCTGAGACTGTTGCTTACCCCTAGACACTCCCCTTATGCTATCTGATATATTCTCTGCCTTGTGGTTTCTTGGGGTCTGTCTCCTTCCATCAGGTGTGGTGTATGGATGAAAAGCCCAAGCTAATGGGGTTAGCTCTTTAAACAACTATAATAAGAGACTCTTTGCTCTTTATCAAAAAGGGTCTCTTGATGATTTTGGGGTTCAGAACATGGGTGCAACAGTATACAAGATGCTATTCTTCTTAAGAAGCTTACTCGGCATGGGACGTATCTTGTGCAAGACCTCCCCATGCCAGCTTTTAAAAATCTTTTCTACCTTCTGCATTTCCTATCTGTCTCATCCACCACCACGTTCACCTCAGGATCCTGTCAGTGAAGGTTCCCATCTGCTGAAGTAGCTAGACATGCTGTCTCCTGTCTCTAAATTGTTCAAAGTGTAATCTGGAACATGAACCTAAAGGACACTTAAGGATGACAGCGTATATGAAATGCAAAATGTGTCTAGGCTGTCTCCTCTTTGAGTATTAGCCATAACATTCCATGCATGTTATCGTGGAATGTATTTTTCTTTCTGAATCTCCTAAGTGTGAAGTGATTTCTTCCTGTAAGGCATATTAATATTAGAACATTGGCCATTACATTCTTTTAGAAAACTTTTTCTGAGGCAGGCTTTTTTTTTTTTTTTTTTGGTGTTTTGAGACAGGGTTTCTCTGTGTAGCTTTGGAGCCTATCCTGGCACCCGCTCTGGAGACCAGGCTGGCCTCAACCCCCCCGAGACCCGCCTGCCTCTGCCTCCCGAGTGCTGGGATTAAAGGCGTGCGCCACCAACGCCCGGCTGAGGCAGGCTTTCTTATGTTGACTCAGGTGGCCTTGATTCTAGTGTGTTGCTCTCCAGGGCAATGACCTTGCTGTCCTCTGTACTACACCTTCAAGATTCTTAAATGAATTACCATCTCAAAGATTTCAAATTGTCCATCTGAGTCATGTAGTGGACTCTCCAGTGCAGTCACACGATAAGGATTCCCATGAGAAGCATTGCTTCTGCTTTCAGACCAAAATAGGAAGCATAGTTTATACTGTAGGAAGATACAGGGTAGGCAGCTAGCTGCTGGAGTCACCATTATGAAAAGGGACCTGATTGTGGTGGTGGGAATGATTTTGTAATTTCCCAGATTGTTTTATTTCATGTCATGTGAATAAACACAGACTAGATTGTGTACAGTTTGAGAAGGTTATCTTGAGCCAATGAATATTGAATTTGCAATTAGGTAATTGCCCGGTGCAGATATGTTCTGTCCTGCTTGACAGTTATGTCAGTTCAGAGGTTTGAGAAGCAGGTCATTGACTGTAACTATGTGTCAGATTACAGTGCTCAGTAGCCTACATATGCATATAGGCACCATCAATCTATCTCTTAGTAATGGCTGTAGTAACATTTTGTTTGTAATGTAACAAATAAGGCTTGCCTGAAGATCAGAGTACAGAGCTAAGTCACTAGTTAGCTACACACCTGGTTAAGTGCCAAGCCAGTAATTAGGCACATACACTAAGTCACTAGTTAGCCACACACCTAAGCCACTAGTTAGCAATAGAGGCAGTACAATCTCCTAGTAGTACTCAACTAACTAGTACTCAAGTACTCAAGGTCATCCCCGACCAGGCAGTGCTAGGGCACAACTTTAATCCTAGCACTTAGAAGTCAGAGGCAGATGGATCTTAGTGAGTTCAAGGCCACTCTGGGCAGAGAGAGAGAGAGAGAGAGAGAGAGAGAGAGAGAGAGAGAGAGACTAAAAGAGAAACAACTCACACAAAGGTTATCCCAGGACTTGGGATCAAAAGCCTTTAATCGAAGCACAGGTTGGTGGGAACAGGAGTGGCATGGCTGGAAAGAGAGAGGAATATAAGGTGGGAAGAGACAGGAGGACATGCGGTGAAAGGAGTCATTCTGAGCATTCAGTGTGAGGTTTGGTAGAGACAGCAGTCAGTCTGAGGAGGCAGTTTGAGGACAGGATCGCTCCTTGGTCTGAGCATTGGTTGAGGTAAGAACTCTAGTGGCTGGGCACTCTGCTTCTGTGATCCTTCAGCTTTCATCCCCTGATAGCTGACTCCAAGTTTTTATTATTAAGATGTGTAAGTTGTGCTGCAAATAATGCTCTCTCTAGGGAAGTGCCTTTTTTTCTAAGTCAATATAGCTAAATTTTTTTAATATTAAAAATACATTATTTTAATTTTTAACAAATCACTTATTGGTATCTTTTTAAATGTTTTAAGTGTATTACTGCTTCTAACCCTATTCATTTCTGTTCTCCAATGTTTGTAGGCCTTAACTAGTTTCATTACTTTTCTCTCAAGAGATTCTGATTATTGATTTCTGTGTAGAGCAAAGTATCCTGTGGCTCAGGCTTGCCTCATGCTGTGTAATTGAGAATTGCTTTGCACTCCTAATTCTGCTTCTCCTGCACAGTGCTGGGAAGACACTCCTGCACCTCCTTCCAGTCTGGGCCTTGACTGGTCAGTGAGAAGGAAAAATAGACCAGTTAATGAGTATACTCCAAGCTCTCTGATTTTAAGTGGGGACTTATAAAGAGGGACCTGTGCAAGAATTGAGTTCGTTGACCAACTTTGAAACGGGTGGAGTCACAGAGTAGAAGGGGAGAGGCAGGATGGAGGTTGAGCTTTCCTACTTCAACAGTAGTTGAGATTATCAATGTGGAATTAGGTAATCAATTCTAGATGATCAATAATTATCGTGATTGGCCATTTCTTAGGGTCCACATATGATGGGAATCAAAAATTTGGATAAATGACAGTTCCCAATGATTATTTACTTCTTTATTTATGTAGGCTCTAGTATTCTTGTTGTTTTTAATCTATGAAAGACTTTTAGTGTTTTGCCTAAAAAGTACTATGGGGCTTGGGAGGTTGCTCAGCACATACTCTTCTAGGAGATGACCTGAGTTCATATCCCAGCACCCAAATTTGGAGGCTCATAACTACCTGTTACTCCAGATCCAGGGTGTCCAACAACTAACTGCCTTCTCTGGTATGTCACATGTGCACACATGGAAAACCTCTCTCATAGACAGTATATACAAAACATTGAGATAAACTTGTTTTCAAAATTCTTGTTACATATAGAGGAAATAAGAGCAAAACCAGTCACTTTGGATGCATAATACAAATCATACATTGTTACTTTTTAAATATATTTAAAAAATTTAATTTTCATTTTACATACCAACCCCAGTTCCCCTCCTTCCCCATCTCCTGCCCTCTATCTCTCTGCCTTCCCATCCCACAGTCATTCCTCAGAGGGGGTGAGGCCTTCTTTTGGAAGTCAACAAAGTCTGGTATACCAAGTTGAGGAAGTATCAAGCTACTCCATGCTGTATCTGAACAGACAAATGTATCCCCCCATAGGAAGTGGGCCAGTTCATGCACCTGGGATATGTGCTGGTTTCACTGCCAGGGACCCCCCTTCATATCAGGTAACATTCAGAGATTCTTCTTTGGTGCCATGAAGTTTCCCCATCTATCAGTCTGTAGTTTGTGAGCTGCCACTAGTGACAGTAATAGGAAGTGTGGCTTTATTGGAGTGGACATTTCTTTGTTAGAGGAAGTATGTCACTGTGGGGTCATGCATTGAGGTTTCTTACATTCGGGATGCTGCCCATTGTATCAGTCAACTTCCTGTTGCCTCTGAGTCAAGATGTAGGACTCTAACCTTTAGTAACCACATCTTTGAGTATGCTGCCATGCCCCCTATAATGAAGATGATTAACTGAACCTCTGAAATTTTAAGTGAACACCTAAATTAAATGTTTTCTTTGTAAGAGGTGCTATAGTCTTGGTGTTGCATTACAGCAATGAAAACCTAACAAAGACATTGGTACTAGGGATGGGGTATTGCTGTGATAGGCTGTGTTAGGTTTTTATTTAAATTAGAAATGAAGAAGATGGGCACAGGATGAGACATGAGACAAAGAGACATGTTAATGAGTTTATTATAGGGCAGGGAAGCTAGCGAGAGAGAAATAGAAGAACAGAATAGGACAGAGAGTGAGGAAGAGAGAGAGGCAGAGAGAGAGCAAAGCAGGGAAGTTGGAACTTTTAAAGGGAAGACTGTGCATGCTCACTGAGGTTCAACGCATGGCCAGAGTCCTCACGCAGGGTGTAATGCATGGTGAGTGACATGGTGATGGCATGTCGCTGTGCATGCCCCAAGTGTTGTCAGGGGGCTGGGTCTGTCTCTTAAAGCCTAAACCTTTCAGGCTATCCCTATCACAAAATTTCTCTGATGTTTCTCAGTAGTGTTGATCTGCAAGCTTGCCTCTCTCTTTATGTCTAGTCACTCAGATTTCTTCCTCAAGGATATATGCTACTTAAAGGGCCAAGAAATGGGTCATGTGAACCTCCTATTCTTTTTCCTTCTTATGTGACTAGGTGAAAATATTATAATATCCTTGTCGTGAAATAAGTATGGGAAGCACCAGAATTATGTGATTACATTGTCAAAGAAACATACATATACACTGTGTGATCACACTTTATGTTTTTCACATGTATGGATTATTTTAGAATGCAGTGACCTATGATGATGTGCATATCAACTTCACTCAGAAAGAGTGGGCTTTGCTGGATTTTTCTCAGAAAAGTCTCTACAAAGATGTGATGCTGGAGACCTACAGGAACCTCATTGCTGTAGGTAAGACTGAATTTTCCTTCGTGTTTTAAAATAAGGGGACAACTGTTTCTTGGTTATTGATACTCTTCTCTAAATCAATTAAGAACAGGGAAATTTAGGTGAATAAGGCATTGTTCTAATGTTCATTGAAAATATTAACTTAAGTTTTGTACAGTTTCAAGTAATATATCATATATTTTCTGGTATTGTTTTTTTAGGTTACAGTTGGGAAGACCATAACATTGAAGAACATTGTCAAAGTTCTAGAAGACCTAGAAGGTAATTTTCCTGTGCAAGTTTATACAGATTTGGCTCTGAAGAAATTCTAGTGTGTCATGGAAATTTTAAAGAAAAGCAACAATGCAAATAAGCACAGCTTAAAGTATATTCGTGATTCTTTTTTTTCTTTTTTTTAATTTTTATTTTATTTTATTAGTTCAAATTAGAAACAAGCTTGCTTCAGATGTTAATCCCTTCTCCCCCGCCTTCCCTCCCCCCAACATCCCACTTGCCCCTAGCCATCTCCCCTCCATCCCCAGGCAGGGTAAGGCTCTCAAAAGGGGCTCCCCAAAGTCTACCACATCACTAAAGCGAAGACTGTAGGGCGGGCCTGGGCCCCCCCCCATGTTGCCAGGTCAAGATAGCATCCCTTCATATGGGATAGGCTCTCAAAATCCCTTCTTTTTTTTTTTTTTAGATCTTACATATTTAATACATTGCGTTACTCCTGTACAAATGGAAAAATATTAAGTTCAACATTTCTAGGACAATATGGCTGTTAATATTTGTACAATGCCAACTGAACTTGGTAAACTGGAATAGTTTTTTCAATGTTGACAGCACAGCTAAAGTTTCCAAAAATTCAAATTATATATATGTATATATATATACATATATATATATACATA